GGAGCCACCCCTGAAGAGATACTTTGATATTTTCAATGCAGCCCTGCTTTGGGCTGCCCTGGTGCTGCCACACTTCAGGCTCTTCTCTCTCCACAACCTTCTGTGGCTCACAGCACCGTTGGAGCCAATAGAGACTATCTCAAGAGGGCACTGGTGGCCCAGCAGCTTGGCATGGGGCAGTGGGATAAGGGCATGGCCAGGTGGCCACCCTAGACACTTTTCACCGCTGGCTGCCTCCGAACCTTCTCTACATTAGCAGTTTGCTTTGTATGCACTTTGTTGTTTTGTTTTGGCCTTTTTATTTTTTCCACTTTGAAACTGCATTTCCTGACAGAAGGACTCAGGTTGTCTGAAGTCACTGCACAATACGTCTCGGTCCACATAGCGATGGTTCCCTCGTTCACTCAACTCAGTATGACCCTTCCCAGGTGCTTCCTCCACTGGATGGAGGAAAACCAAGCCATGGCTCCCTGCTCGGCCCTCCCTGCCTCTCCCTTCAACAGTTCCCCATGGGAAATGTCAACAAATACGAATAAAGACACCAGTTGTGTGGCAGTGTTTGCCATCTGTTTTAGCAGGGCACAGGCAGTGGCCACAGCCCCAGGCAGAAGAGGAAATTTTAAAATCCAAATCTCTGCTTCCTTCAGGGCACAGGTGATAACTGCTGGAAAGCTCAGAGCTTCCAAAGTCAAAAGCAAGAGAACCTCAGGGTGGGCGAGCTCCATCCCTCTGTCCTGTAGGAAGAGCCCCGAAGCAGCAGCAACTCTTGTTGTAGCTGTGGTGTCTGTCCATGGTTCTCTCAGTGTGTGTCTTCATTAGCAATCACACCAATGCTAATGCTACTACTAGTAACAATGAACAACGATAACACCCCCTCCATTAGTAGAATGCTTACTATGTGCCAGGCACTTTATTTGCATGCTTAATTTAGTCTTTACAACCACCTAAAGAGAAAGGCTATTATTAGTTGAGTTGAGTCTTATTGATGAAGAAACAGGACTAGAGAGAAGTGAATAGCCCAGGGTCCTGCAGCTATTAGGTAACAGAACCTGTATCAAGGCCAAAGGATGACCTAGAGGAGAAGGTGTAGCCCTCAGCCCAGAACCCCCATCAGCCCCTAAAACCACCCCAAGTAAACACACTAGGAGAGAAATACTGTGCTTGCTTCTAAACACAGCTCGCATTAATGGATAAGCTCCTTATTCCTCCTTCCTACCAGCCTGTCCACCCCTAATCCCCTCCTAGACAGAAATTATGGAGCTCCTGCCAAACAAATTTAAGGCCTGGGGTTTTTCAGAGGCCTCTTCTGGCGTTCATAGTCCGATGGTGTACTGCTTCCGGCCTCTCAGGGTGGGCCGGTGGGGAGGGGTTAAGGAGTGGACAGGACTCTAGAGGTGACCTCAGTGGGCCTGAAGTCATCTTATCTTCTCCCATGGCCTGCCCCTGGCTCAGGTTCTTGAGGGTCCTGGAAAGATAGCCTGTGCAAGTATCTGGCTAAAGAGCCTCAAGGGTCTGCCAGCCCCTACCTGAAGACCCCCGAGGCTTAGGACTCTTATATCATGGCTGGAATACACTGTTATTGAGGTATTCTGTTACATTAGAAAATTCAGCTGTTCTGCAGCATAATAGTGCCAGAAATGTGCCATTTCTTGAGTGTTTTTCTGTGAACACTACTGTGCATTATTTTATTTAATCCTTACTATAAATAACCCTTGGGGTAAGAATTAGTCTCCCATTCCTAGACAAGGAAACAAGCTCAGAGAGGTTAAGTAACTAACTCAAGGCCTCACATCTATCTGGTAGCACTGGAATATGATGAGATTCAGTGGATACGTTTGGAGGAGCAGCTGTCCCAGGGCTCAGACTCCGATTCTCATCCTGGCCTGTCCGCCTACTGTAAGCAGACTTGAGCAGTAAGGATGACTTTTAATGATTTCCATCCTTTAACTCTCAGCCACTCGGGGCTAGACCCACCTGTCTCAGGTCCTCTTCTTCCCCACCTCCCCACCCTCCCATACAGGACCTTGAACTTCCTCCGAGTGAAGTGGAGCCACAGCTCAAGTCATTTCCCTTTTCTGGGTCAGGTTCCTCATCTAGCGTGGAGGACAGCTGATGAGTCCTAGGAATAGGAAGTTTCTTAATAGCAAGTTTCTAGTGATAGCAGCTCCATTTTCCTCTGGAGAACGATCTGCC